TCATCCTTTTATACTGTATCCGTTTTGTTTTTATTTCCTGTCTCCTGTATTTTTTTTGGAGGGGGAGTTGCCGTGGGGTGCATGGGTTCACTAGAGGGCGATGGATAAAGACAGAGAGAAGGAAAGTGATAAATCAGCACCCTAATGGGGTTAGTCATTCTGCAATTCCTTCTCCGTTTTCTTCTCATACACTTGTGTATACACATGTGTCCAGTGTGAGTTTCAAGCAACCCGGTCTGGGACTAGAACTGTGGTCAGCCGTGAGGGAGTCCAGCACCTTATTACCACACCACCTGCTGGCCCCTGTCTCTTGTACTTTTAAGAAAACTTTCAAAATGGCCTTGAAAATGTTAGTTTCTAGAACCTCCTCTCTCCTGTATCTGTAACTAGAATGGTATTTCTCCGAATTGGCCTAAGAGTCTATTCTGAAAACCAATGAGAGGGACCAGCAGTTAGTATAATGGCTATGTCGCTGGACTCCCATGTAGTTGACTGCGGTTCCAATCCCTGACCTGGTGGCTTAAAACTCAGTCCGGGTGCGTGTGCGTGAGTGTCCAAAGTCCCAAGAGGAGACTAGAAGAGAAGGAATTGCAGCCTGGCCATGCCCCCTGGGGGGTGATTTCTTGCTTTCTGTCTCTCTGTCTCTCTCTGTCTGTCTGGTGAGCGCACGCGCCCTATAGCAAAAACCTCTCCAAAAACAAACAAACAATGATAGAGGTACTAGATTCCTGTGTGGGTATTATGCATGTGACACCCTCGGGAATAGGCCTTCTTTGTTACCTAAAGTGACAGCGGGTCACTTTCTGCAAGCAGGCAGCTCTCAGTACTGGTAGCTGCTGTCAGACTACAGCTAACCACCACGGAGAAGCAGCAGTAGCTTTTTTATTTTAATGGTAAATAGGTTAGTGGGGGGAGAAGGATGAGGAGGGGAACATAGCTCTCTTCTTGGGTTCTCACAGTCTGGTCACTGAGGGAGGCGGGGCTTCGGAACTGCAGCTGCACAGGAGGGTGGCCCATGATGTGTGGTGGGGGAGATCCAGGTGACGGACTCCCCCAGCGCATCCTTGCAGTACGTGTCCGCAGAAGGATTTACTTTGCCATGAGAGATTTGTCTGCTTCCCCAGGCCTGGGAGCAAAGCATTCTCCGCATCTGGTCAGATCAGCAGTTATATGCCCAGAGTGGGGGAAAATACCAATTGCGTAAGTTCCCCAGAGCTGAGGCCTCCCGGTGGGGCCTGCCTCTTCCAAGTTGTCACCTGGGCTGGCTGTGCACGTTGCTGGAAATGTTTTTGGCATTTCTCTTTCAACTGTGTATTTAGATTTAGTCTTTCACAAAGGCTGTTCTCACTCTTGGCAAACCTTATCTTTAGAAGGATGGAGTGGTTAACTAAATATCTAGCAATAACCAGAGGTCATTCTGAGTCCTGCCTGGCAGATGGTGTGGGTAGATGCTCAGACCAACAATTTCATTTTGGGTTAAAAATGAGATCTGGTCGGGCTAGCACATGACATTGAGGTTAAAGCAGCCTGGGTCCCACATGGCCGACTGCATTCGGAGTCTTGGACCCAGTGGCTTTTAAAACACCCTGGGGGAGTGTGCTTTCCCAAAATCCCCAGAGGAAAATGCAGAGAAGCGATTCTGGTGTGCCCACCCCCACCCCGCCCCCAGGGGGTAATTTCTTACTTTCCCTCTCTGTCTCTTTGTCTGTCCAGCAAGCACATGCACCCTATAGCAAACTTAAAAAATAATAATAATAAAATAAAGGCACAAGAGAGAAGAGAGAATTCAAAAACTTCATTGAAAAGAGAAGTATCGTAAATAAGTATATTGTTTCTAGAGGTGACATTTTGATGGTGCTTTTTGAAGTGGGCACGTTGTGGGGCTGTATTTTGTAGTCTTATTATCCTCTAGTCTTAAAACGATTGCGTTATTTCAAAATACCCTCAATCACTGTTTAAAGCTCATTGTTGTCAGAGAGAACTCAGTACAAATGCAAGTAGTTAGGGGGACCAGCAGTTAGCGTAATGGCTATGTCACTGGACTCCCACATAGTCAACCGCAGTTCGAGTCCTGGACCCGGTAGCTTAAACTCATGCCAGGTGCATGTGCTTGCGTGCCCAAGATCCCAAGACGAGAAAGGAGGAGAAGGGATTGTGGCATCTCGCTTTCTGTCTCTCTGTCTCTCTCTTTCTGGCGAGCACACGTGCCCTATAGCAAAAACCTCTAAAAAGAAAAAAAAGAAGAAAAAATAAATGAAAGTAGTTAGAGACAGAGCTGGAAGGTGGAATGGGAGACGGGAAGATCAGCATTAGAGTTGCTTTGCAGCTTCTCCTCACTAGGCCCCAGGTTCTTCTGTAAAGGTCAAAGTGATGTCCACATCATAGGATCATTGAGTGTGAGTTTTTCTTTTAATTGACAGTGCGTGTGTCAGAAAGATAGACAGACAGTGAAGGGAGGGAGGGAAAGCACCCATGTGCCTCAGTCCCTTCTCCATTTCTCATCCTGGTGGCATATGGGCTACACACTGGCATGACCTGGTGTGTGTTTTCAAGCTGCCAGTGTTGGGATTCTGCCTGGTCAGCCCTGTGGGCGCGGGCTCCCTTAACCAGTAGGCTGTGGAGTTAGCCTTGCTCGGTTTTCAAGGAGGTCCCGTAGGTGTCCTCTGATCTGGTTTCATTTCTTTTTCTTTTTTTAAGATAGATTTATTTATTTATTTATTATCTTTGTTTTTCATTTTGACCAGAGAGAGTGAGAGAGAAAGTGAGAAAGCAAGCCACCAAGTCCAGACGTGGCACTGTGGTCGGGCATGTGGGAGTTCAGTGCCTTTAACCACAGCGCCACCTGCCAGCCCCTGGTTTCATTTGTTTTCAATTTCAATCAGCTGTGATCTGAAAATAGGTGCGCTCTATACAATACAGTGAGATATTTTGAAAGAGAGACCAAATTCACATAACTTTCTTTCTTTCTTTCTTAATTTTTTTTTTTTTTTTTTAATTTTGCTAGTGGGCCCGTGTACTTGCCAGAAAATAACAAAGAGTGAGAAAGGACCCCTCCTTGTGGTTATACCACCATGGGAAATGGTCGGCCTTTCTCCTCCATGTCTCCCTTTGAGATTTGGGGCATTTGCACACAGCCCTGATTTTTTTTTTTTTTTTTCCCCCTTCAGTCTTTTGCTGTAGGGCACATGTGCTTGCTGGAGATAGAGAGAGGGAGAGAGAAAAGAAAAGCGAGAAAGTGCCCCCTATGGAGCTGGCCGAACCACGATTCCTCCTCCATTCCCCTCTCAGGGTCAGGCATGCACGTACACATGCCTGGTGTGTTTTCCAAGCCGCTAGGTCTGGGAGTCAAACCTCACTGTCAGCCATGTGGGGTCCAACCACCTGTACCATCCTGTCATGGTCTAGCCTTCACATAACTTTCATTGCAGGACATTGTTAAAATGGTTCTCTTTTATTGTTAGTTACTGTTAGTTTCTTACCATGCCTAGTTTATAAATTACACTTTATAGTAGGCATGTATGTATAGGAAAAAACATACATAACTTCAGAAAGTTCATGTGAAGATGGATTTAAAGTACAAGTTTATTGTGGAGCAGAAAAATTTGAAATCATGCATAGTTTTAAAATAATACACATGTTCCATGAACTTGGCATAGATATCTCGTGTATAATGCAGAATTTGGTATTACCTGCAGTTTCAGGCATCCTCTGCAGATCTTGTTATGGATCCCCAGCAGATGGGGGGACTGGTGTATTGCATATGAAGCTCAAACCACAGATCCCTGTTGTACGTGGTATTCAATAAATGTTAGCCATTTTCTTTTTCTTTTTTCTTTTTTTTTGCTTGAGAGTGCATGTACTCACCAGAGAGAGAGAGAGAAGCACGCTCCCAGGGGGGATGGCCATGCTGCAGTTTCCTCTTGGGATTTTGGGCCTGCACTCACACGTGCCCTGTGTGTTTCAAGCTGGCAGTTGAGGGCTTGGACTGCAGAGCCGGCCTTGTGGGATCCAGCACGTTAACCACCACGCCACCTGCTGGCCCAGCCATTTCCATTATGCTACTGTCGCACGGTGGATTGCCTGGGAGAGAAGAATGGAGAAATAGATAACATACTGTTTCGGAAATTTTAAAACGTACTGATATAGGGGACCAGCAGGTGGCATAGTTGCTAAGGTGCAGGACTCCCACAGGGTTGACCACGGTTCAAATCCTGGACCTGGTGGCTTGAAAATCTTGTCAGGCACATGTGCGTATCCAAAATTCCAGGAGAATGGAGGCAAAGGGATTGGGGTACAACCATCCCCCTTAGGGGTGATTTCTCACTCTCCCTGTCACAGTCTCTAGCACTCTCCCTTATGACAAAAACCTAAAAAAAAAAAAAAAAAAATTAAAAGAAAGTACCGATTAGGAGAACAAGATTGGCTTATGGTTTTTAAAGGTTTACAAACCAAACCTGTTCCATCATACTCCAGTGACATTCGTTGTAACCCAGTACGTGTCATGAGTGACATGGATGCTATTTTCGTTTTCAGCTGTCCCTAACAGGAAGTGTTGGGACCAGCAGATGGCATCACGGTTACATTGCTGGATTCCCCTGTGTCGACCGCAGTTCTAGTCCTGGACCTGGTGGCTTAAACACTCACTCTGGGCACGTGTGTGTGCCCAAAATCCCAAGAGGAGAAGGGATTGCAGAGTGGCCATCCCCACTGGGAGTTGATTTCTCGTTTTCTGTCTCTGTCTCTCCATCTCTCCAGCGAGCACACACACCATCGGCAAAAAATCTCTCTTAAAAAAAGTGTTAGCTCTTCATGGAGATTCTGATTATATTCCAAACCAAAACCAAAATAAGAAACTAATAATCTCCTTGTCCTCCGAAAATACAGTGCTGAAGATTTAGATGTCAAGTTGTGTGTGGAGGGTGGAATCAGTTGTACTATGCTATCACTGAGCACGGTTTTTGTATATTATAAAAATACAGATCTTATGACTTTTTAAACAGACGAAGATGAAGATGGTGATCGAATCACAGTGAGAAGTGATGAGGAGATGAAGGCCATGCTGTCATACGTAAGTGTATTACAAACGCCTGTTTTCCAGAATGTTCATGTAATTGAGGGCGCTCTTCCTTGCCAAAGCGACGCTATGTAAGTAAATCGTAGTTGCTATAACATTTTTCTATAGAAGAGGTAAGGTTTTCAAAGATTTCCTTCCATGAAAGTTAAGGGCATTCTTTTCAAGAGACACTTACTGATCATATGAACATTAGGAATAATGCATCTTAATGACTTTTGCATTAGGTATGGTACAGACTAAATGGACTATCAATTTCCTGTATTTTTTATCCAGTACTTAAAGTAACGGCTCATTAAAAATGAACCCCTGGGCTCTAAAAAATTTTTCAAAATCTACTTTCAACTGGAGATGTCTCTCACCCTTCCAGCCTCTAGTTACAATGTAGCTGCAGGCTTAATGTGGATCCGCATCTCCTTTCAAGCTCACAGTTATTTTATGCAAAAACCATCTTCCCACTCCCCCACCCCAAAATGAACTATAGAGTTATTTACCGAATGAAAGAGATTCAGTTATGTCCTAAACCGACTTTTCTTTTGTGTTTCAAATACCAGTGGTAATTTATGTTAACATCTGACCAGGACGGAAACATATAGATAAGGCAAGAGAAGAAGAGGGTATGTTTCTAAAGCTTTCATACTGAGGTTGGAAAGTTCAGCTATGATGAAGAGACATAACTTCCTGGAGCCCCGATTTGAACTTTCGTCTTCCAGTTTTATTTTATTTCATCTGCGTTCGTAAGCCATTTACAAAACCTTGTTTTTAGTGGTCTGGAAGGAAGAGCATTGGTCGGGAAGTCGGGAGGCCACAGCTTGGCTCTGGTTCCTGGCCTTAGGCAAATCACTTAACCTTTCAGTGCTGTGGTTGCCTCATCTGTCAATTGTGGGTAATAATACTTGTCCTTTCTACTGCACAGGGTCATTGTAATGATCAAACGGGATAATGGATGTGAAAGCCCTTTGAAAAGTTAAAAGTCCTATACAAATGCAGAATGGTATCCTGGTGGACACAGGGAAGGGGGCCTTGGCTTTTCACTGAGACTCTAATCTGAGCAGGCCGCTAGGTTGTAGGCTTTTGATAGACTTCAACTTCAACCAGGATATTGTTTCATTGTAATGAAAACTGTAAACTATCTGTGTGGGTTTCCGCCAATAGTTTTAATTTAGGGTGGGAGGAAAGAGAACAAGAAGGATGGCATGATTAACAGAGCATGGCATTCCAGCCGCACAGAGCAGGGAAAGTCGATGTCCCATTGACTTCCCATTAACTTATGTGGGAGCCTTTGTGTTCTGAGGGTTTAGAGCTGGGTTCATCAGTACCTCGAAAGGCCTTTGACTCCGACAGAGATAAGTACTTCGGGAGAGCGAACACATTGCGCTTTTTGAGAAATGTTGCCAGGCATGAGCGCGGTCATGGTAATGGTCATCTCCATTTCTGAGTGCCTGTTGTAAACCGAACGCTTGAGTGTTTTTGTTTGCTTTTGGCTTTAATAATCACTGTGTGAGATGGATATTAAGGTCCCTGTTTCTTAGGTGGGAAGCTGTGGTTCTGAGACATGCTCAAGACAGAGCCAGTGTGAAGGTGTCGGGGTCTAAGTTAGCCTTTCCTATGCTAAAGCTGGCACTCACTCACTGCCTCTCCCCGCCCCCCCCCCCAAACGCATGCTGGGCTCTGTGCATCACCTTCATGGAATTCTGTGCCTCTAGGGCCTTAGCTGTGGGGCCCGCACCATGCCTTCCTCACAGCTTACGCGCATACTCTCAGACGCCCTGCTTAGTGATTTTTGAATTGTGGGAAAATATTGGAGTCATGATTCCATGAACTGATATTCTATACCCCTAACTTAGAGGTCCCCAGGATTTCTGAGAAGCCACTTTTTAGTCTGAAAATCTAGCTAGCTCTTTATTGCCAAATGTTTGGCTTCACGAACTAAACAGTTTTTCATTTTTAGAATGGGGGGGACAGACTTAGGCATGGTAACTTTTTTTTTTTTAATAAAATTTTTAAAAATAATTATTTTACTTAACTGTTTATTTGTTTTAATTCGACCAGAGTGGGACAGAGTGAAAGAGAGAGAGATTTGAAAGCAAGATGCCAGGTGTAGAACTTGAACTGCAGTCGGCTATGTGGGAGTCTGGGAGTCCAGCACCCTTAACCACCATGCCACCTGCCAGCCCCACCATGGTAACTTTTAATTTTGCCAAATTAAAACCAATAAAATTGATATGCTAATAAAAGTGATTTATTGCAATTATTAACAAAGGAAAATAGTGGGAATCATTTAAAGACTGAAGTGGGGGGCAGCAGATGGCGTAAGGGTTACGTTGCTGGCTCCTACATACTTAACCATGGTTCAAGTCCCGGACGTAGTGGCTTAAAACCCATGCCAGGTACGTATGCATGCATGCCCAAGATCCTGGGAGGAGAATGGAGGAGAAGGCCATTTCAGTGTGGCCATCCCCACTGGGGAGTGATTTCTTGCTTTCTGTCTCTGTATCTCTCTGTCTCTATGATGCACATACACCCTATAGCAAAAATCTCTCTCTAAAAAGAAAGAATGAAACTGTAGGCAGGACATAATCTCAAAAGTAAACACAGCTATTTCTTTAAAGCGAGTACATTTTATGTATAGCATTCCATTATTGTTTTTTCCTAATTTACTGTGGAAGCATTAAAAATATTTTAGGGACCAGCAGTTAGCGTAATGGCTATGTCACTGGACTCCCACGTAGTTGACCGTGGTTCAAGTCCTGGACCCGGCGGCTTAAACTCACGCCGGGCACGTGTGCGTGCGTGCCCAAGATCCCAAGAGGAGAATGGAGAAGAAGGGATTGCGGTGTGGCCATCCCCCCGGGGGGTGATTTCTCGCTTTCTGTCTCTCTGTCTCTCTCTGTCTTTCTGGTGAGCGCATGCGCCCTCTAGTGAAAACCTCTCAAAAAAAAAAAAAAAGATTTTATAAATCTGCACTAGTCCATGGATTGTGGTCTGGCTGATGAAGCCCTGATTTCCTCATTAATTCTCCTAACCAATGTTTGTAGATGAGATCCTGAGGCTCCTCCCTCTGAATTTTGCTTTTGGCTTTAATAACCACTCTGTGAGATGGATATTAAGGTCCCTATTTCGTAGGTGGGAAGCTGTGAAAGCTTTCACTTAATGTGAAAGTCCCACTCGTATGAGGCTGAGTGAGCAAAATGTTTTGAAATGAAGATGAAAACATCTCTGAGAGAGAGAACACATTTTGAGTAATTGAAACTTAGATGGATTTCCTTTCTCCGTGTCTCTTGCTGTAACCCCTGCCACCATATGCCCTTAGTGTGTGTAGAGTAAACTAGGTTCTCAGCGAACATTTCAAAGGTCAAGAGTTGGGCAGTTGCTTTCACAGAATTCTAGCACAAAGAAGGTCCGTTGGGCAGCACTTTGATCTGCCTTGGTTCTGAGGGTTGATACTCCTCCGGCTTCCAGTTTTGCAATGGAGAGAATCATTTGGACCTTTATCTCACAATAGATTTTGGTTGATACCAACTGTTAAAAATTTACTTTTTTTTTTAAGGTTCAGTTGGTTCTGAGAAAGTGTGATTCCTGGATTTAAGGTAATGGCATAGGGAAGAAACTGACAGGTGATCACATTTTTATTGTTTAAAAAAAAAAAAAAAACAACTTGGTACCAGCAGGTGGCGTGGTAGTTAAGGTGGGACTCTCACATCGTCCACTGTGGTTCAAGTCTCAGACCCAGTGGCGTGAATCACACTGGATGCATGTGTCTAAATCCTGAGAGGAAAATGGAGAAGGGATTACAGCATGGCCATGTCTCTGAGGGATGATTTCTTATTTTCCCTCTCTCTGTCTCTCCAGGGAATGCACACACCGTGTAGCAAAACAAAATAAAACAAAAAACAATAGCAAAAATAAATAAATAGAAAACATAAAAAGAAACAAAAAAAACAAACTTTGTTTTTCATATATGTATTGAGTTGTTGGAAAAGTCATGACATTTTTTTTTTTCTGCTTTTCTATGCAAAAATGCGTCATGACCTTTCTGACAACCCAGTAATTCAATACATTTGTGGTTACTTTAGTATTTCTTTAAAAGCCCTATAAAGGGAAGCAAAGTAGAGGTACTTTTACGATTAGTCCTTTATCCTTTCTTTACCGTCGGCTACAGAGGTCAGTAAACCACCTAGTCCCTATATAAGAATAAAAAAAAAAAATTGCAATGTCTGCATTGGATCTTGCAGAATTGCTTGTTTTGCCCCTGGAATATAAGCATTTTCTGGCTTTAGGCAAACACAAGTGTAAGTTTTTATCAGTAATTTAAATAGATTTTTGTATTAGACCTGAAAGTGTTGCCTTTTTAATTGAAAACTTATCAATTATTTAAATCACTAGCAGCCTGAGGCTGTTGATTTTATGAGTACCATAATAATGGCATACAGTGGCTTTTGATCCATGCGACACATAGAATATCATATGGCGGTAAGGATTTGTCGTGACAGGAGGCTGTGTGCTGTTAAATAATAACCAGCATATTAAGCCAGAGTCTGTGGCCTTGCGTTAGTACCATTTTATGTAAGTTATTTAGAAGACAACTTGGTACCAGCAGGTGGCGTGGTAGTTAAGGTGGGACTCTCACATCGTCCACTGTGGTTCAAGTCTCAGACCCAGTGGCGTGAATCACACTGGATGCATGTGTCTAAATCCTGAGAGGAAAATGGAGAAGGGATTACAGCATGGCCATGTCTCTGAGGGATGATTTCTTATTTTCCCTCTCTCTGTCTCTCCAGGGAATGCACACACCGTGTAGCAAAACAAAATAAAACAAAAAACAATAGCAAAAATAAATAAATAGAAAACATAAAAAGAAACAAAAAAAACAAACTTTGTTTTTCATATATGTATTGAGTTGTTGGAAAAGTCATGACATTTTTTTTTTTCTGCTTTTCTATGCAAAAATGCGTCATGACCTTTCTGACAACCCAGTAATTCAATACATTTGTGGT